AAAAAAAAAAAAAAGAAAAGAAAAAGAAAAGAAAAGAAAGAAACTACATTTCACAAATAAGTAGCTTACAAGGTCACTCAAGGAAAGACAAATATCCCAGTTCCCAGTGTCTTACTCAACAATGTATTAAAATGTACATATTAATCAGTCACCACAAGACATAGGAGTGATACAGCTTGGAAAACTTGTGGTCCTCCCTCACCGCCTCCTCCCCCCGAAAAAACCCTTGGTGAAAGGAATAAAGAAATAATGCTTAAGCATCTATAGTTGCCCATGTGCTTTTCTAAGTTTAAATATATTTCAAGAAAAAAAAATGTAGTCCAGAAAAAATTTTTACATTCCCTGAGTTGGCCTTTGCACCAAGAAGTGTGCTCAGCTCTGCATCAGATGAAATTGTTGCTTGAATGGAAGACAGCAGAATAGTCCATTTCTTGAGCTCCTTTCAATTATGAGATTCCTGACTGAAGAAGACAGTGATGCTTCTCATAGAAAAAATCATTTCTTCCCCAGAAATCAAGCAACACTTCTCTTTGTTTTCTGGTTCTTCCCCAGTAACATCAGGACTCATCTTTTTTTTTTTTTTTTGAGACAATCTCAAGCTGTTTACCCCAGGTAGAGTGCCATGGCGTCACAGCTCACAGCGACCTCTAACTCTTGGGCTCAAGCAATTCTCTTGCCTCAGCTTCCCAAGTAACTAGGACTACAGGTGCCTCCCACAACGCCTGGCTATTTTTTTTGTTGTAGTCGTCATTGTTATTTAGCAGGCCCAGGGCAGGTTCAAGCCTGCCAGCTCCAGTGTATGTGGCTGGCACCCTAACCATTGAGCTACAGGCGCTGAGCCAGGACTCGTCTTGAGTTTATCTGATTATAGACTGGAAATCCCCAGGGCAGGAAGATCCCATCTCAGCATTTCCATAAGTGCCAGCTAATGTGCTCTTCCAAAACGGAATGTTTTCTATGAAGCAAGAATGCTACACAAATTGCTTTACCACCAGCAGAACACAGTATAACAGAAAAGGTAACATGGTGCTCTAAAGCCAGTCATATTGTCCAAGGAAGAAAACAGAGCTTCAAGAGAATTTACAACAGACAGTCTTATATTTCCTACTTAATGTTATTGATCAACTTATAATTAAAAGCTCTAATTTGCAAGGGATATGCTTTTCAAATAATTTTTTGTATTCACCTGTGCTTTTTTCACCACTATCTCAACCATGTGACCTGAGTATAAATGCTAGTAGCTCCACTAGGTAAATTTTCCACTGATGCAACTATAGTAATTTCTAAGTCTATGAGAACTGCCAGGAATGTGTACCAAAATCCAATACTTGCATCCTAATAATGCACTTGAAAAAAAATGTTAAATACACAGGTCTTCCTGACTGTCCAAATTCCAAGAAGTTCAAATGAGTAATTGCTACAATTGTAGAGAGACTGGATTATGGTCCATGGCGGGTATGGATTCCATTTAGGGACTCACGCACATGTGTGATAGTAATGTTGCTCTGATGACTGGCAGTGACACCAGCAGATAGTGTGCAGGGCAACAACACAAGAAGGGCAGGATGGGATGCAATAATGGAAAATAGGAGTGATTCATTCGACCTGATACGTATACACTTCATAGGTTTAAGTCTGAAGTGAATCAAACTTTCTGAATGTAACTACTTGTGTAGGAGAATGAAATGGAAGCACTTCTTGGACCTCATTTTTTATAGGCTCAGTGCCACCTTGAAAAATTCCACAAAGATCCATTCTGAAACAATAGTTTTTCTTACTGGAAAGCCACACATTGGTGTGGAATCTGTGAAGTGGAAAATCGGACCCAAGCCAGTGTGTTCATGCATAAGCTTGATCATAACGAAAAGGTACATGGAGCAACAGCACCCAGGTTAAAGGTCACCCCCATAATCCCATGCACTTGAGCGTTCATCCTTAACCTGTCCCTGACTGTGTGACCTTGGGCCGGTTGGCTAACCTTTCTAAGTCTTACCTTCTTCATCTTCAACATGGAGATAGGAGGTTTGTTGTGAGGATTAAATAAGATCATGCACAAATAGCTTTTAGCTCATACCTGCTACACGCAAGCATTTAAGAACTGTGTCCTTCTTGTGAATAGATGTGGCATGTTGACTATATTTTAGAAACAAGAAGCAATTACAGTCCACTGTCACATCCCAACATCTTGTGATAACCATTTGCACTTTATGCTTCTAGCTCTTACAAGTCTTTTCACCACAATATTTTGGGGGATAGGGGAAGGAAGGTAAGCAGCCACATAGATCCCACTTTTCTGACTACTGCTCAAAGCAAGGTGAAAAGCCAGGGAAATAGGTAACATACACATGAGAAATTCAGTTTTGGGGATATGATGTTATAGGTGCATGGAATATAAACAAATCATATAATTTCTATTTATAACATCAGGGGCATCAAATCATAGGTAGGTTTTATTTTAAAAGAAACAAAAGCCAAGCAGCATTAAAGAAGATAGAAGGAACCCACACGGGCCTATCACTATCTCCGAGTTGGTGTCTATGAAACGGATTGGTGGGCTAGACTATGGGGGGTTTCATGGGGTCTGACTTCCAACAGGTGGCTAGCTTTAGTCATCTTCAGATGCAAAACCTTAATGAGTTTGAGTATGCAAGTCTCAGAGATTTTGTTCAAGGCCTTCTCTTTACGATCAAGGAGATAATTTTCCAGGTTTAAGCCTCCCTCGCAAGTTAGCAAGCAAGGAACTGTCTGCCGTATCTTGTACCTGTCCCCTGAACGAGATTCTGGCCTGACGGTGAAAACCCACCATCATTTCCAGACAGCCCATCCTGCCACTGGGCCACCTCCCGACAAACAGGGGAAGCCCACTAGGAAGTGGTCACGACCAACCAAGCCACAAATCCCCAAGGGTGTGGGATTTCCACCTCTACACCACTTCTGAAAACCGAAAATAGACGCCCGCTTGCCATACTGCAATGGGGTTTCCCCCAGCAGCACCGCCCCCCCACCCAGCTTGAATGTTTTATTAATAAATGCAAGATGGCACACGAAAGCAAAGAATGGGAGGTAAGGCATCTGCGGCTGGACCCGAACCAGGGCAGTTTGCAAAAATAAATGAGAAGCATGTGACAAGAAGCAGGTCCCCAGGCTAGGGCTGAAGCCCAGGGCTGCCCCGCGCACCCTTGCCTGCCTCCCCAGACCAGGGAGATGAAGGTCAGCTGCAAGATCCCAGCCCTCCCGGCACGCACCCTGCAAACCTTGACCGGCCCCCCAACCTCCGCCCCAGCCACAGGACTCAGGCAGAGAGGCAGGGGAAGCCCCGGCCGCGGCCAGCTGCGAGGACACATACCTGCTGCCGGGACTCGGGATTCTCTCGGCTCTGCAGCGGAGCCGGCCGCGGCTCGCGCTCCCGGGGCTCCCCTCTCCGCCCCCCCGCCCCCTCGCGGACCCGCTCCCTCCGCCCCTCCAGCCCTCCGCCCACCGCGCTCGAGGGCGCGCGCGCGGCCTCGCGCCGGCCCCTCTCCGGGCCCGCGCCTGCGCCCTCGCCTCCCGCCGGCCGCGCGCGCGCCGGAGGCTGTGGGGAGGCCGCGCGGCTGTCTAGGAAACGGCGGCGTCCGCGGGCCGGGGCTGGCGGTGGGAGCCGGGCAGGGGGCGCCGCCCGGGCTGGAGCGCAAGCGGTGGCGGAGCGGGTCGGGAGCCTGAGGGTGTGCGTGTGGAGCGAGGAAGGGGTCGCTCGGGAAGGTCTGAGGTGGAGGCGGGCGGGGCGGGGAAGCAACAAGTGCGGAGGCACAGCGGACCCCGCGAGGAGGCGGGGGCCCGCCGGGGTTTTCGTACGGCCGAGAATGGGAACCTCCGGTCGCTTTGGTGCAGCGCTTTGCAGCTTCCAGAGCCCTTTCCCGGGTTATTCCGTCTCATCCGCACGGGGCGCCCCGGAGGGAGCGAGCAGCGCGCTGTGCCCTCTGCGTTTGGAGGGCCCTGAGGGGGAAACACCTTTTTTTCTGGCCAGGATCCTAGCAGAATCAGAGACCCTCGACTCTGAGTCTGGGAGAAAACTACCTATCGGTTCATTCATTTGATGGCCTTGGCTCAGGCCGCTTGAAGGACAGCGTTTCGTATCCTTTCCTTTTCTTCCTTTTTTCATTGTCGCACTCTTGAGGCTACACATTTCCCCCGTTCTCGAATCCCCTTTCCGCACGAAATTCTAGTACCACGGATATGCCGTGCACCTGCCTGGGCACTGTGTGTGCATCTGTGCTTTGTCCTTAAGAAGAGTAAGATTTCGCCCCTCGGAGGTGACATCGCCCCGGCTGAGTGAGAATGCTTATTCTAGGGCCACGGTTGCTAGTTAGCGGGTGGGGCAAGTGGGGTCACTGAGCAATCTGGATGCACCCACAAGTATTCTGTAGGCTCAGAAAAAGTCCTCGCACATGTATGAACAACTCTTTGTAATGTCTGCAGGTGCTGCTGTGAGCACAGTCATTTAAGCAGCTTGTGGATTCGTAGTAGCTTCTTTGTCTTCTCCATCAGTTCTTGCTAAAGGTACAGACAGCCATTTTCCAATGAGGTCTTCACATTTTTGTATTAAAATACTTGAAAAGATTGAAACCTTCATTTCTAGGGCTCTATGTTCCAGGGTGGCCTTTGGCTCTGCAGACAGTCTTGATTTCCCAGTTATCACGCCTCTTCTATATTATTTTTATTTGATTAGGTCCTATGGGGCTCCCAGGAATGTTCTTTGTCTTTCTTGCCTCTTCTTATCTAACCTCAGCTTTTCTAATTAAATGATGGAAATTGTAGAGTTGAAAGGCTTTGAAACCCACCTCATGGAACTGCCCCGCGGTCTTGGATTATACTTTTCTTCAACACAGGACCATCTAGAGTCCTAGAGAGTGTCTGATTTAGGACAACTGGGAAAAAGGTAAAATACTTCAGGCCCTGCCTCACCTGTCAGCATTTCTTACTCAACTGCACTCTCTCATGGTGGGATTGCAAAGGGGAAAATGTCCTTAAAGGTGATATTTGTAGAGGCTACCTGAGTTGCTAGAGGGTATTTTTCTTCTCTATTTCTAGAAGGAAGAAAGGAGGACTGGAAAGGATAAAGTGGGGATGAGTTAAGAAAAGTTAATGAAGGATTAATGGAATGGGAGTTACAATTTCCTGACAGTTTTCTGCCGCTGCGACATTTCAACTACACTTGAGTTAGAAAAAGCCTTGGCATAGCTTGCCCGGGTAGTTATCCTCTCCACCTTTCCCCACTAAGTAGAACTCTTCTTAAAAGTAGATTAAAACCATTGAAAATCATCCAGTCACAATGCTAATTAAATATTAGAGTAGGACAGGTATTTTGAAACTTGCAGAAATCGGGAGACTACTTTGATTTAGGTGGAATCTTGTATTATAATACAATTTTTTTCAATTCAGGTATATGCTACTTCAAGGGAATTTTTTGGCTGTAAAGACCTTCTGGAGAAATCTGTTTGAAAATTACATGATAACAACTTTTACCTATGTCTTTTAAGTGTGCTTTTTATTTTTCTTTTCTTTTTGGGGGGGGTAACTTGAGTTTATGGCAATTGTAGGTGCAGCCATTTTATTAATATGTTGTAATAGTGTGAAGTCACAAATCTCCAAACATGTATAATTTGTCAGCTCTGTGCTGCCCCCTTGTGGTGTCCCACTTCAGAGCCCATACCCAAACTAAAATCTTCATCCTTTGTTCTTTAGGGCAGTGGTCACCAACCTTTTTGGCACCAGGGACCGGTTTCTTGGAAGACAAGTTTTCCACAGGTGGGAGTTGGGGGAATTAGATTCTCATGAGGAATGCGCAACCTAGATCTCTCCCATGAGCAGTTTCCCAGGGTTCGTACTCTTCTGAGAACCTAATGCTGCTGCTGATGTGTCAGGAGGTGGAGCTCAGGACCTGAAGTAAGCGGTGGGGAGCCGCTGTAAACACAGATGAAGCTTTGCTGGCTCACCTGCCACTCACCTCCTGCTGTGCAGCCCAGGTCCTAACAGGCCAGGGACAGGTACCCATCCATGGCCCAGGGGTTGGGGACCACAGCTTTAGGGTACTGAAAACTTAAATCAGGGGTAGACAAGAAGCCATTCTGCCCTGAGGCTGATCAATCTAGAAGCCCTGTGAAGATCTACCACAGACCTCACTTTCACCTTATTGAATTATTATTCTCAAACTTGCCTGGTCTATAAGAAGCACTTGGACACACTTTAAAAAATCAGATTCTGGAGACTCACTTCAACCCCCTTGAAGTCTAATTCCAAGGGATCTACATGTGATTTTTATTTTTAACGGCTCCAGGTGATTCTTATTGATAGGAGAGGCTGGGGAATCCTAAAGCTATAAATAGTACAGGTGCTGATTCAGTAGGCTGCAGGTGACTAATGAGAAGGAATTTTGTAGGTGAAGGAGCTTCCCAGCAACAGGAAATCATGGGAGCTATATAAAGCAGGAGTGGCATTGTGGGTTTAAACCTTGTGTGTCACTTTCTTGCCAGATAGACCATTTCTGATGTGGCTTTAATTGGTGTGATGTTCCATACCAAGATGACTTTTGAGGTGAGATTTTCTTTTGATTAAAAAGACTGCCTTTTCAAGAGTCCCCAAGATCACATAAGCAGGATTTTTTTTTTTAAATTGAGACCGAGTGTCACTTTGTCACCCTCGGTAGAGTGCTGTGGCGTCATAACTAACAGCAACCTCAAACTCTTGGACTCAAGAGTGATTCTCTTGCCTCAACCTCCCTAGTAGCTGGGACTACAGGCACCTGCCACAACGCTGAGCTATTTTTGTTTGTTTGTTTGTTTGTTTAGCGTGCCTGGGCCAGATTCAAACCCACCAGCCCTGGAGCATGTGGCTGGCACCCTATCTGCCAAGCTACAGGCGCCCAGCCCTAAGCAGAATATTTTTGCATTTTTTGCAGCTGGAAGATTATGGAAGGGCACATTAGAGTTTATTTTGACCCTGTGAGTGTGTGAAAGACTGATACTAGAGTTAAAACTTTGTTCCTTTAAAGTAGTGCTTTGTAAAAGTAGACCGTAAGAATTTGGTGCCGCATGATTTGTGAAAATTGGAGTAACACCCAAAGTCCTTGAATTGTTAATATTTAGGTAAACATTAACATTTTGAAAGATCTTCTAAATGTTGAATTATAATACAGCCTCACTTATTTGGAATGTTCTTAGAGAAAGCCAATCTCAGTTAGTGAAAGCTTGAAAAATAGAATATATTTGATTTTTCATGATATTTATTTTAAATTTAAGTACTCACAACAACTGCTAACAAAGCAAGTTTTTCAAAAAAAATCCTCCTAAGATGGCTTTAATGAATAAATAGGGTTGCCTTGTAAATAGCAATATTCATGTGCCTACAGTCTGTATGGATATGTGTACAATACAAAACACGATACCATGCATTCGGGAGCATGTTCTTGGTAAACATTAATTGTAAAAAAGTTTTCTCATAAGTGGTTTAAATATATTTAGTGCAGCAAGCCCATCTTTAAAGATAATACTTTAAGGGCAGATTTTGCCTTAAGCAGTGGCATAACCAGTGAGGCAATCAGGGGAGTCACCTTGGATGGAGGCAGTAAGAATTCTCATTATCTGTAGAGAATTTAAACTATAATAAACCCACTAAAAACTTCATCTGCTTTTCATTATCAGTACTTTTTATGTACAAGTAATTCTAAGCAATGTTAATGGTGAAATAGTCCTCCATGAAAAATCTCTTGTGGGTCTAGGTTCTAAACAACTTCTGTGGTTTCTGTTGTTTTAGTAATACATGTATAAACTTCAAATTAGCATATTTTAATTATTTACCTTTAATAAACATATTCCACATGGAAATTAATTTAGAGAATTCCCACCTATACAATTAGCCTTCAATAATCATGGACTCAGCTATTGTTTACATTTCCGAAGAAATTTATAAAAGTCTAGGGTAATTCAAGACTTCAGGCCCAGTTCACATCTAGAACCCCATTGGCCTACATCCCTGTATTTATTTTTTTTTTTTTTTTTTATTTTTTTTGAGACAGAGCCTCAAGCTGTCCCCCTGGGTAGAGTGCCATGGCATCACAGCTCACAGCAACCTCCAACTCCTGGGCTCAAGCGAGTCTCCTGCCTCCGCCTCCCAAGTAGCTGGGACCACAGGCGCCCGCCACAACGCCTGGCTATTTTTTGGTTGCAGCCGTCATTGTTGTTTGGCGGGTCCGGGCTGGGGATTCGAACCCGCCACCCTAGGTGTACGTGGCTGGCGCCTTAGCCGGTTGAGCTATAGGCGCCGAGCCACATCCCTGTATTTAAACAGTAGATTCCTCACGAACACTGGCAATACAGTGATTGTATTACATAGAGGTTTAGCATCGAACTTGATTACTTTAACATTGTCAT